GTAGCAGAGGATGGTTTGTTTCTCCAGTACCACACTCCTAAGAGGACTTTGTGGATTGGTGTTGGACATATGGGTTAATGGGTTAATGTTGGACTTGTGGACTTGGGCAGCACTGGGTTGGGATGTTTTCTTGATGCTCACTTTACCTTTATATAAAACTCTCTCTTATACATGAGTTTCTGTGGATTTGTTTCTCTAAAGTACCTAGACTAACACACTGGGCATATACACTAAAAAGGTGTGCAAGAGAGTTCATAGCTCTATTTTACTTATTAACCACAGCCTGGATATAATCTAAATATAATGCTGATGTCATGAATTTTGTTGAGGTAGCATGAAATAATACACAATGGGAATTTGCAATCCTTCCTTATGTTGCTTCTTGAAGTGAATTCTGCCACCACTCCCTCACAGAGCAATGAAGAAAAGCTATAGTCTCATATTTGTGACTATCATTTCTATGTTAAGAAATTAGAAACCAATAATCCAACCTCAAACTATATATTTATTCAAATAAACTTTGATAATATGATAGATTGGAAAAGGCAAATTGAAATCACTTATTTTTAGTTTCTCATGTTTTACCAATTATCAGCTTTAGATAATTATTACTGGATATAGTAATTATAATGAAAATATTAGGAGAATTTATCACTTTTCAGTATGTTCAAAATTGAAGTCTCCAATAATAAAATGTGTCTAAGAATTGAAAAACACACCCTAACCAACCAAAGAAAAATAGCAAATCTGGGAGAGGAGGAGGTGAAATTATCGTTATTTGCAGGCAATATGGATTCTGTACACTGAAAATCCCAAAAGCTTCACAACTGGAGTACTGACAGTGATAGAGGAATATGGAAGAGTGGCAGATACAAGATTAACAAACAGAAGTTGATTGGTTTGCTATATACTTTGGACAAGACCATGGAAGAGGAGATCAAGAAGGCAGTACCCTTCACAATAGTCAAGAACAAAGTGAAATATCTAGGGATTTACTTAACCAAAAAAACAAAAGTCCTATACAAGAAAAACTACAAGACCCTACTACAGGAAACCAAAAGCGACCTCCACAAATGGAGGAATATCCTATGCTCATGGATCAGAAGACTCAATATAGTAAACATGTCTATCCTCCCCAGGGCACTTTATAAGTTTAATACTATCCCAATTCAAATACCAACAACCTTCTTCAAAGTATTGGAAAAACTGACCTCTCCAATTTCATATGGAGAGGGAAGAAGTCCAGAATTAGCCGAGAACTCCTTAAGAAGAAGGACAAAGTCGGAAGGGCT